AGAGAGAGAGCCTTCCCCTAGAGCCAGCACCCTGAATTCGGACTTCTAGTGTCCTAAACTGTGAGAAAATTAATGTTTATTTGTTAAAGCCACCCACCTGTGGTATTTCTATTATAGCAGCACTAGATAACTAAGACAGAATTTGGTACCGAGAGTGGAGTGCTGCTCTAACAAATACCCAAAATGTGGAAGTGGTTTTGGAATTGGGTAATTGGTAGAGGCTGAAGGAATTTTAATGTGCTTCATAGTAAGGCCCTAGCTTGCCTTGAAGAGACGGGTAGAATTGTGAACATTAAAGATGATTCGGAGGAGGGCTCAGAAAGAATTGAGAGCTGTGATGAGAGTATCTCTCATCACGAGAATGTTGCTAGAAATGTGAACATCAGATGTGCTTCTGGTGAGACTTTAAAAGGAAATGATGAACATGTGATTGGACATTGGAGGAAAGGTGATACTTTTAATGCAGTGGTAAAGAATTTGAACTATGTTCAAATGTTTGGTGGAAGGTAGAACTTCTAAATGATGAACTTGGATATTTGGCTGAGACGATTTCTAAGCAAGATCTCAAAGGGGCAGCATGGTTTCTCCTTGCCGCTTACAGTAGAATGTGGGAGGAAAGAGATGGACTTAAAAATGAACTTGTAAAATCAAACCAGAACCTAAAGATTTGGAAAATTCTATTGTACAAATTAAGGACATGTGTTCTCGGACTCTTAACTAAGCACATGGCTACACAATCTTTTGTTAAAGAGATTAAGCTGGTGACTGATGGCTGTATTGTACTACCTCAGCAGAAAACCCATCAGCTTAGACTGAAGGGGACAGAGACAGGACAAAATGAAGGAAAGCTGTCTGCCTCTTGGAATTCTACTCTTGCTCCTACCTGCTTACAGGGCAAGAAACAGACCAATGGAGCAACTTGGTTCCAAACATCTGTTGACCTCCAAGAAAACAAAAAGACCATCCCTGGAGCAGTTCAGAGATCAGCAGAATTGTTGGAAGGAGTACAGGAAGCAGGGCTGCCTCAGTTTCAAAGGGTGGAGCCACAGCCTCCTAGGTTTTAAAGAGTCAGATCGCCACCAACTCAGTTCTGGAGTGTGGGGCTGCCATTCCGGTGGGCCAAGAGGATGGTGCCGTCCCCCAAAGCTAAGGAGGTGGGGCTGCCATGCCCAAGGGGCAGGAGAACAGAGCCTACTGGGGCCCAAGGGCATGGGGTTGCCACTTAGGTGGAGTAGGAGAACTGGCCACCCAAAGCAGAGAGGGCGAGGTTTCCATATCAGTGGGCCTAGAGGGTGGGGTCTCTATCCAGGGCCAAGGGGCCTTCACCTAGAATCAGGGAGCATGGCCAACACCCATAGTCTGGAGTGCAAGGCCATTGCTGAAATGGTCTCAAAGAACAGAAGATTATTTTTAAGCTTTGAGAGCTACTATAATTCGTTCTGCTGAGTTTTGGACTTGCTTGGTGCCCGTTATCCCTTCTTTCCCTCCAGTTTCTCTCATTTGTAATGGAAATGTCTGCCTTGTGCCTGTTCCACCATTGTACTTCGGAAGCAGATAACTTGTATTCTAGATTTCACAGGTTCACAGATGAAGAGGAATTTTGCTCCGGGATTGAATAAGCCTAAAGTCTCATCCATATTCGATTTCAATGATTCAGAAGATGAGATTTTGGACTTGGAGTTGATTAATACTTTTGGGGTGATGTGATGGGGTGAATGTGCTTTGCATTTGGGGAAGACATGAATTTGGAGGGGCCAAATGGAATGTTATGGACTGAACTGTGTCCCTCCAAAATTTGTGTTATAAATTCTAACTCCTATACTTGTGGTTATAATCCCATTTGGGAATGGGTTTTCTTTGTTGTGTTAATGAGGCAGTTATCAGTGCTCTGTAACCCCCTGTCCTGTAACCAAGTCAATTCCAACTTATAGTGACCCTGTAGGATAGAGTTAACTGCCCCGTAGGTTTTCCAAGGAGCAGCTGGTGGATTTGAACTGCCAACCTTTTGGTTAGCAGCCAAGCTCTTAACCACCGTGCCACCAGGGCTCCTGTATTAGCTTAGGGTGGGTTTTAAGTCAATCTCTTTTGAGATATAAAAGAGCAGATTAAGCAACCAAGCAGGCATAAATGGAGGGGAAGATACATGCCATATGACCGTCATCAAGGAACTGAGGAACAGAAGCTGAAAAGAGACAAGGACCTTCCTCCTGAGTGGACAGAGTGCACCTTCCCCTAGAGCCAGTGCCCTAAATTCAATCTTCTAGCCTCCTGAACTGTGAGAAAATAAATTTCTGTTTGTTAAAGCCACCCGCTGTTAGTATTTCTGTTATAGCAGTAGTGGACAACTACTTAAAAGAAAGAGCCCCAGCACAGTATGAACTGACACCCAATGTGTTAGAGATTTTTTGTATTAGAGATTTTTGCTGAACAGCTTTATGTTATGATGAGCTTGTTACCACTGAAGACACTGGAGGTTCAATCCTGTTTGGGGTCCTCTGAGATACCTTGTGGAATAGACCTCAGACAATCCCATCAGGCATTTGTCACCAACTGGCTGATTGCTGGGGAGCTGTTAATTCCCCAACAATTCTGGGTTGTGCCCCCACGTATCCTAGAAAGCCCTCAGGAAGAGAAGAGAGACAGGTGGAGGCACATGTGGCGGTTCACTCTCAGATTTCTGAGAAGCATCCACAGCTTCAGGTGACCGCAGGTAAGTCTGTGGTATATGAGGCAGAGCACTGACAATTGCCACAGATTACATCTGCTTTGTTTACTATTGCATCAGGGCCTAGAACAATCCTTAGCCCAGTGTGTGGCTTATATTGTTGTCGTTGGGTGCCTTTGAGTAGATTCCAACTCGTAGCAGAGTAGAACTGCCCCATAGGGTTTTCTTGGCTGTAATCTTTACAGAGCAGATCACCAGGTCTTTCTCCCATGGAGTTGCTGGTTGGATTCATGCCAACCTTTAGGTTAGCTGAGTGCTTAACCATTGTGCCACCAGGGCTCCTTGTGTGGCTTATAAACCCTGTTGCCATCGAGTCGATTCCAACTCATAGTGACCCTATAGAACAGAGTAGAACTGCCCCATAGGATTTCCAAGGAGTGGCTGGTGGGTTTGAACTGCTGGCCTTTTGGTTAGCAGCCGTAGCTCTCAACCACCGCGCACCAGGGCTCCTGTGTGGCTTGTAGCGGGTACTTAATAAATATTTTGTAAGTCAATTCTGTGTGCCTATCAGACCTTGTGTCAGGTATTAGATAATACTAAGAATTTAATCCTTTAACTCTTCCCTCTCTTCTGGCTGTCTAGACCCTGTAGAGACTCAATCCCCCATCTCCTGCACCATCCCCTCAGCAGCTCCTCAATCTCCTCACCGGGTTTCCATCCATCCCTGGAAGGTTGCTGGGAGTCCCTGGAAGTATGAAGCCTGTATATGGCTGACCCTCAGCACTGCTGGATCATCCTGCCAGTTTCCCTGGCCAGAGGCCCCTCCCTCACCTGGCCCCTCCTGGATCCCCCAGATAGCAGAGGTGGCACCCACAGGATCACTGTGAAATCAGTTGTATCCAGACTCCTGAAAAGATTTGATCCAAACTTCTAGGGAATAGATGTTATCTCCCAAGCCCTACCCCACACCCAAGGTCAGGGCAAGGGTGAGGCAAGTGAGGCACTTGCCTTGCCTCAGGAACAAAATTTAAGTGAGTGCCAAAAAATTCAGTAAACAAGATAATGTTTTAATGTAATATTTTTTAAACATCAATATTAATGCAAAAACCTATGATAAACAAAATACAATCTGAAATAAAGACAGGATAGGTGTTACTGATTTTTCCATTTGCCTCAAACTCCGATATGGTGGCGGATGGCTCAACATCGCGTTGCTCCTGACCCAGTGCTCCCTGAATGGCACTGTTACTGATTTGCATGGTAAGTAATTGGGAGAGAACTATACTGATGTCTGCAACTTAAACTTTGAAATGCACACACACACACACACACACACACAAATAAGATGGATTGTTGGTTGGATAGATGGATAGATAGGGATTGATAATCAACCCGGTTGCCATCCAGTCTATTCAGATTCATAGAGACCCTGTAGGACAGAGTAGAACTGCCCCATAGGATTTCCAAGGAGCGGCTGATGGATTTGAGTTGCCAACCTTTTGGTTAGCAGCCGAACTCTTAACCACTGAGCCACCAGGGCTCCGCGGATAAAGTATTGTAAAAGGTTCTTTGTTCAGACTAGGTGGTGGGTGTATGGGTATTTGGTGTAAAACTCTTCCCACTTCTTTGAATATCTGGAATTTTTCATAATAATGGAGAAAAAAAAATAAAAGAAGCCGAGGACACACAAGACTGGCTTCCTGGGATCAAACCAGCTCCACACTCGAATCTCTGGATGTCCATGGGCTGGCAGGGACCTCAGGCCCCCTCCAGGCCTAGTCCCTGCCTCACCGTCACACTCAGTGAGGACTGAGCACTCCCCTCTGCTAACTCCTCCACAAAAGCCTCTGTTTGTCCCTTGTTCTTGAGGTCTCCCTGGAATAGCAAGGCCTGGATCCTCTCCACTTCCTCACGCATACCCACGGGGCCTATTTGACTCTCTCCCTCCCTCCAAGGCCTCTAAGCTGGGGACATACCGGTCCCTGGGCTAGGGGATGTCGTTTACCAAAGCATGTTCAATAATATAGAATTCTATTTGGAAAAGAACGACAAAAAGCCCATTTTTGAAATAATGAGGACCTAAAACAAAGCATTAGAGATAAGTAGTAATTATCAACTGGGCGGGCCGGGGGAGGAGGCGCGAAGCGCTTAGGAATCTGAGGTGTGTGCGAAAGAGTTTACCCAGATTCGAAAGGTGGACCACCGTCTCCGAGGGCCCTCAGCGCGCGCTCTCTCCTCTGAGGGGAGGGCGGGCAGTCTTCGGACCGTGGTCCTCCGAGGTGGCGGCGATTCCTCTGGAGCCAAAGGTCTTGGTGGTTCCGTGCGGAGCTGTCACCGCACCCGGCGCGGCGCGCCGACAGAGTGGCTTCGTTGGGCGCGGTAGGGACAATATCCCGGGTCCGCAGGGTATAGAGCCAGGACGCGCCGAAAGAATTGATGACAACCAATGGGGGCTCTAGGGGCTGGCGCGAACGCCCCCTCTCCTTTTCAATTCGACCCCGGAACGGAGCCTTGTCAGGCCATATTTGCTCCCTCGGACCGGGACAGCGAGCAGAGCTTAGGAGTTCTTCCTTTTAGCTCCAACCCAGGCCCTGAGCCAGGCACTTGCGGCGGGTGGGGGGGGGGTGTTGAAGATGGTTCCCATCTATTCCTCTCCCTCTTTCTCCCAGCGGCCTGATTGCACGTCTGAGGATTGGTGTCCCACCGACGAGGGTGCAGGGTTGCCTTTGGGGCGTCCAGGGAACTGGCTTTCCCACCTTTGCCACCCTCGGGACCAGCCCTCTGGGTTCCCGACTCCGGCAAGCTGAGCACAAAGCCCGGAGCCGGGACGCAGATGAGCGGAACCAGGCGAGCCGGAGCAGGTGGAAGCCACGGTCCCGGGCCTGTTTGGATCTCGTTGTCCTTTTAAAGGCTAGAAGGACGGAGCTGGTGCAGCGTGACGCGCCCACCTTCCCTCCCACTGCAGATGGCCAGGCTTCTTCCGCAGGACTGCAGACGGCGCTCGCACTCAGCGCGCACCCCAGGGGCCATGGACCCGCTGAGTAGCAGCGGGAGATAGGCCAGGGAGGTGACCAATCTCTCCCGCAGGCCTGGGAGACATCCGTGGGCGTCGGGGGACTGAAAGCTGAAGACCCTCCGATCAGCCCCGGATCCTGAGCGCGCGACAATACTGACAAAGGGTGATTAGGCAAACGACAGAGGGCATCCTAAATGGCCTGTTTGAAACGTCAGCGCCGCGGCGGTCGGCCGAGAGCGCCGGATCTTGTCCCCCCCCCCCCCCGACTCTCGCTCTGTGGCTGCAGAACCAGGGTGGTGCGAGGTCACCTATGTCACTTGCGTGTCACGGAGCACGCCCACACGGACGTTCAGCCCAACACACACGCTCACCAACGGCTCTCACACAATACGGACACGGCATCCCTCACCCACACACGTATCTTCATTCACCCAGGCTCTCTCTCTTTCTCTCTCTCTCTCTCTCTCTCACACACACACACATACATACACGCACACACTCATGCCCGTCTGGCATGCAGTTCTCTGTTTTTTTTCTCGTGCCCTGAGCGCACCTGGATAAATCATTCCAAACGAGGCCTCTGCCTCGGCGGTGGAGCTCAAGAACCTCCCGCGTGGCGGCTCTGACAGTGAGAGAAGACCGCAAGAAGCACCCAGCTGTCCTTCGCTCCCGGCTCCCACCCGCAAAATCTGGTCCAGACACCCTTCCAAACCGCCTGGCGCTCCGGGGGCACCGCGGGTGCTGCCTCTGGAGTCGGATCCGCACAAAGAAGCGGTGGACAGTCTGGGTCATTCAGACAAACACATTCTCAAACGGGCTGCGCAAGAAAAGCGAGATTGGGACCCAAATAACTCGGGGCTGTGGATTCTAAACAGCCAGGTCTCTTGGCAGTAGCTGTGTGAAGCCCAGCTTGGACCTGAGGGGCGATTTTATGGGGTGAGAGAGGCTAGCGAGGCGCGCTGGGGGCTAGCCCCGGGCCGGAAAATACACAACCCGCTGCTGAGGTCTTGCGCTTTTCAGAGTCTGCTGTCATTTTGTGGATTTCTGCGTGTGCTTGTTTATTGCCTCTGTCCCCCCTACTAGACTGTAAGCTCCAGGAGGGCAGAGTTTTTTCACCTGCACTCCGCACAGTCCCAGCCCTGATGCGCTGCCAATACATATTTATTGAACAAACGTCTAAGGTTTTATACAGAAAAACTTTTTTTTTTTTTTTTTTTAAGTGTTGGTCTGACAGCGTTCACCAAATTCTCAAATGGATCTGACCACCGGGAAAGTTTTGGACAAACCTTGTCTGGTGGCTGGGGGCCGAAACTGCTACCTCACCAAAATAGCTCCGCCACCGCTTGCTCCTTTCCCTGCGTCCCCAGACACCTCGAGTGCGTCCCTCTTGGTGCCTGGATGCGAACCACCCTCTGAGCTCCCTCGGGACCCTTTCAGCACAGCCGCTCTTCCACCCCTGCCTCTTTCGTGGGGCGCTAGCCTGCCTTCCCGCCACCCACCGCGCGGGGATTCCTGGCCGGTGCGAAGGTGCAGAACTGATAGACCATGCTGAGCGCGAGCCTTTGTTTCTTCTTTATTTGCGGATATAATTATGCACCGCACTCTAAATTAGAGATAGTTTTTTTTTCTGATATACATTTCATCTTATTTACCACGAGCACACCACACGCACAGTAGAACAGTTCCACAATCTGATAAATTGCACAAGATGAGTTTGGATTCCTGAAAACCGGCATGCAAGCCGGCCCCACCGTGGCTTCTTGCCTCTCGCTTTCGCCGAAGGAAATCGCCCACCCGAAACAGATTTCCTGGCCAGCCTTTCCCGCTGCAGGGCTGAAATGTCTCCGGAATGGGAAGCGCTCTTGCTGGAAATGGCTGGACGCTGCAAATTCCGAACACTGGATGGCTGTGAAATGTCCCCCCAAGGTCAAGTTCCCGCGCCTGCGAGCTGGGTTTCCTCTCCCTTCCTTCCCTCCCCCGTTGGTGGCTGGAACCAAAGCGTCTGGGCCGCTTCCCGAAGGACAGAAAATCTTGCCCACAAATGCGCCCCCGCCTCCTCTCCCAAACCAGGGCGTTGTGGAAAAGAAAGGACAACAAAAACGCAGACAGGATGGATCGTGGATCCCTATCCCCCCCACCCCCACCCCACCCCCATCCCTGAATAATCAGAAACTAGGAACCAGAGATGTTGAAAGCTTGGCTTCCCAAGTGCGGCGGCAAGGCGCAAGGGCCTGGGGGCGGGGTGGGGGCGGAAGGGTAGGGATCGGGGAGAGTGCGGGGGGCGCGGCCAGGGGGCGCCCTCCCACCCTAGTCCTCCGCGTTGGTTCGGTAGGCCTCGATGAGGCCCTCGAGAGAGTGTATGAAGCCGGACACGCTGCAGATGCCGCCGATGACAAAGATGGCGACGTCGAAGAAGACTTGGTGCCACTGCAGCTTGCGCCAGAGCAGGCGCAGGTGGAAGAGGCTGGGCAGCAGGAAGCAGAGCCCGGCGCCAGTGAGGCTGCCGGTCAGGCCCATGAGCAGAGCAAAGTGCGGCACATAGATAGCCATGAGCAGCGTGAAGACAACTAGCGCGCAGCGCAGCGTCAGTCCCCACGACTTGAGGCGCCCGTCGCCGCCGTAGCAAGCGGGAAAGAAGGCGCGGCTGCCCTCCTGGAAGAGCGACTTCTCCAGCACCTCGACAGCAGCGAAGAAAGGCAGCGGGTAGGACAACAGCGCCTTGGCCACCAGGAAGATGTTGACCACTGCGCGGATGGAGCCCGGCAGGTTATCCGTGATGACCTCCTTGGTTTCATCGGCCCAGGTGAGGTAGGCGACGAGCGCGAAGAGGCCCTTGAGTACGCAGGCCGCGATGTGCGTCCAGTTCATCATGCAGTGGAACTCGCTGGGCTGCTGCATGTTGCCTTCGAGCGAAGGCAGGAAGATCTGCGACGTGTAGCTAAACACGATGATGCCGATGGAGATGGGGAACTTCTTGACGTCGATATAGAACTTGACCTTCTCCCAGGCCCAGTCGCGCGCCCGCGATAGGCAGTAGGCGATGACCAGGATGTTGATGACGAAGTGTGCCAGAGTGCACAGCAGGCTGAACTTGGACACGGCCTTGAGGTTTTTGAGGAAGGCGCAGGGCAGCAGCACGGCCGTGGCGATGATGGACCAGGACTTCTGCGACACTGGCAGCCCCGGGAAGCTGTTGTACATGAGGTTGCCGCTCACCACCACGTACAGGATGCATGTCATGACCAGCTCGATGATCTGTGCCACGTTTACCACGCGGCCGCCCAGCGTGGGGAAGCGCGGCGCGCAGCACGCGTTAGCAATGGCCACGTACGAGTCCCGCACCCGCACCACCTCGCCGTCCTCGTTCTCCTCGTACAGGCAAGCGATGAGGATCTTGCCGGTGTAGCAGCACACGACAGCGGCGAAGATGATGAGGAACAACCCCAAGTAGCCGCCGTGCAGGATGGCATAGGGCAGGCCCAGCACGAACATGCCCTGTTGAACGGAGAGGCAACCAGAAGGGGGCGCTCAGCGGACACGGCTTTGGCAGAGGGGCACCGGGGGCGTGGCTTAAGGGTATGGCCGGAAGGAGGCGCTAAAGAGAGTGAGAGTTCGGGAGGAGGATTAAGGGTAGGGTGGAATAAGGGTGCAGGGGGGCCTGGTGGGGAGCCTGGGTGTTGAATCAGATATGGAGAGGGAGGTATTTAAGGGCAGGACTGAGAAGAAAAGGTGCGCGACTGTGTGGGAGGTGGAGAAGCGGCTGAGGGGGGGCGAAGCCTCAAAGACGGAAAGGAAATGTGGAGATACTTGGAGGTAGTTCTGGGACTGGGACCAGAAGTGAGGCCAGGGGCGGGAAGAGGTGGAAGAGATGAAAAGGGGCTGGAGGGCGCTAAGAAAGGTAGAGAGCTAGGCAAGGCCACTGGGGTGGGGGGGTGGGGGGAAAGGAGGAAGGGATTTAAATTGGGGGCTGGAGTGGGGTGCTAATGGGGGAAACGGGGGTACTCAAGACCGAGCCCGAGAAGGGAACGTTAAAGGAGGCAGTGGAGCGAAAGGAGATGGGTTAGGTGGGAAGAGGAGCTGAGGCTGGGCGGAGCCACGGGGAGGCAAAAAGAGATGGTGAGTGTGCAGATGCTTGCGTGGGGCGGCTTTTAGAAGGGGCGGGACGAAAGGAGTTAGTGGGGAGGGGAGGAAGGCAGGGTTGGCGGTAGGGAGTCTTAGAGCAAGGCCAGTGCTGGATTGGGTCTAAGGCAAGCGGACTAAAGGTGGTAGAGGCGAACAGTTAGTGGGGTATACTGGGGAGGGGGAAGGGGTGCGCAGGCGCTGCGCAAAAGGCCAGATCGAGCCTGAGGGATCTAGAGCCAGAAGCGGTGGGGTTGGGCTGAATGGCTGCGGAAGATGGGTTTAGAATCCACAGGGGAAGAAAAGCTAACGAAATCCAGGGTCCTGGAGGCCTGCGGGCCTCCAGCCTTCCGCCCTGGCCCCCCTCTAGGGCTACCGAACGCGGCCTTCTAAGGCGAACCGGACCACCGCGCGGGCAGCAACGAAGGCTGGTGCGGAACCCCGACCCCCAGTCCCGCGTGGTGGTCTCGCAGGCCCCGGAGCGAGAGGAGCCTCGAGTCGGGCCGCCTAGTCCGCAGGGCCCTGCGGAGCCCCTCTCAGCCCAGGTTCCCGAACAAACCCGCCACGGCCTCCCGCTCCTGGAAAACCTACGTTTTGCGCCCCAACGACTCTGCGCTCCCGGGACCTCGTGGGGCCAAGCCGGAGGCATCGGCGGCCCCTGGGGCGGTGGCCTCCTCCGCCCCGAGAGCCGCGGCCTGCCCGCCTCAGCCTGCTCCCCGGGGTCGTTGTGCGGACTCCAAACCCGCTCCTGGCGGAGTTCGGCGCCGCCTGGTGGGGGGGAAAGGGGTTGGGAGCCGAGAGGAAGGATGGTGCGCCCTGAGACCAGAGACCCTAATAAGCTTCGGGTGAGGGCTTGGTCAGGCGTGGTCTTGCTGCCTCTTTGCGGTGCAGCCGGGATTCGGGCGAGAGGGGTGAGTCTGCGAGCAGGTAGCGCTGAGTGCCTCGGACTCCATGTGCTTTTGTGCATCTCCCCAAAGGGCTACACCTGAGGGTGCGGGCTGGGTCCCGTGTGCATGAGTCTGTGCGTGCGTGTTACGGTCAAATGGATGTATGTGTTTGGTATGTACAGATATTGCTTCTGTGCGTGTGGGGTGTAGAGGTGTATGCAGCTGCTTTTGGGGATAGTTGTGTGGTCTGTATATAGATGCATGTCGTGTGCGCCGGCATTCGTTTGTGGAGAGGGGGCCTGTGGGCATGGGTGTCTGCCTGTGTACGTGTGCGCGCGTGTCTGTGCCTGTGTCTCGGGAGAAGAGACTCCCCGCTCGGCAATTTCGTCCCGAAAATGCAGCTGTGAATCCATTCCGGAGACCCAGCCCATGTCATTACCTAGAATCCTGATTTTCTTTCCTCCTCAGCTCCCCCAACTCCTCCCCGGTTTCACGTTCTCCATTTTTCCTCTTTCACAGGGTCTCGGACGTGTGTCTCTGGCTGCACCTCCGCCTGGCTGTCCTGCAGCTAGCGTCTTGGGAGGGGGATATGACCAGGGACAGAGATCCCCGCTCAGGGCTGGGAGGGATGGGGGAAGGGGAGATCCTAGGTACAGGAGGGGTCCCGCAGACCAGATCACCCGGAGACTCGGTTCCGGGTAGAGACCGGCGCACAGGGTGGAGGGTGAGATAGGGGGCCGATAGAGCTGGGAATCCCGCGCTCACCTGGATGGCGTTGGTCACGTTCCAGCCCGCTTCCCACGCCGTGATCTTGGGCTTGTCTTGGCCCCCGAACTCGCCACCAGCCCCCACGGCCTGGTCCTTGGAGCCCGAGGGCGGCAGGGGCGCGCCGCCGCCGCGCTGGTAATGAATGTCTCCCTCAACGGGCGGCTCAGCGCCCTCGTCCCCGCGGGCCTCGCCCTCGGCTTTCAGGATGTCCATCTGCAGGCCCTGTCGGTGCTCAAAGTCGAGATCGTCGCAGTGCGCGAAGCCCACCGCTTCCTCGTCCGTGGCTGCCTGAAAGCCCATCCTGGCAAACATACCGCTCACCTTGGCCTGGGACTTGTTGGACACGGACGTGGCCACGTTGGACAGCTTGCTGCGGAGCAGGGTGGCCATGGCGGCGGCGGGGCCCGAGGGGACTCGGGGAAGGACAGAAGGGGCCGGGGACGCGGGGACTAGGCGGCGAGGGCCGGGGACGCGAGGTCGCTATCTCCGCTCGCTCTCCCCGCAGCGCCCCCGGGCGCTCTGGCTCATGACCCTCTCGGCTGGCGCTCGAGGCTCGCTCCGGGCAGGACCTGGCGGGCGGGTGGGCGGGCGGGCGGCGGGGCTTGCGGAGCGGCAGCAGCGAGTGCACTGCGGAGCTGCCGCTGGGCGCGAGCTGGGCTGCTGAGGGCGGCGTAGTCGTCAGAGCAGCTACGCGAGGCTAGCACGGCGCCCCCACCAGTGCGCTGCCTTCCGCGCTCCCGCCCCTCGGAATCGGCCGGGTGGGGGTTGCAGAGGGGGAAACACCCGGAGGCAAGGGGCGTGGGGAGGGGGCGAGGAGGAGAGAAAAGGGCACAAAAGGATTCAGGATAAGGGAGATGGGGCAGGAGAAGGGCGCCCTTGGGAAGGCGGCAGGAGGGAGCTCACGGAGATGGAGGGGTGCGGAGGGCGGGGGTGGGGGCCGGAGTGCTGCATTTCTGGAGGAGGTGCTAAGCTCTGATCCTGGCCCTTCCCACCTCACCGCCGCAGGGAAGGGGGGGCCGGGGCGGGCAGATTCTCGCGGCCCGGACCACCCCCTTCAGAGTCCCGGAGCCGCGCGGCGCCAGATCCTTTAGCCAAGGACTCGCCTGTGCGCCTAGAAAGCCAACAGGACCAAGTTGCTCGTCCCTGGTGGTGCGGACCGTCTGGGCGTCGGTATGTCTCGCTCGCACCCATCACTCGCACTTACACCTGGCCGCAAGCCCCTTCCTGAGGGCAGAGGAGTCCGGCATGGGCCGCTCTCAATAATGCCCAGCCCCGGGCTCCGTCTCTGAGGCTGTCTCCGCGCGTGCGGGGACGCCGCAAAGGAAGCGATTCTGCGGGTCACTCGCTCACCAACCGGTCTCCGAATGTGTGCAGAAGGGAGGAGAAAGGTTGGCTTTTAGCTTTCTTTTCGTTTCGAGGAGAAGGGAGTGGGAGCTGGAAGGAGGCAGGACTCAGTGAGGACACCTCTCGACCGCTTCATGGCGGGTCTGCGAATACGCACGCGGTAGAGGGGCGCAGACGGATTCCGGCGCCGATGAAAGGAGGCCTCGCAGCGCTGCGGGCCCGGGGCGCTGAGGCGCGCGGTGCGCTCGGGCGCTGCTTGGACCGCCGCTGCCAGGGCCACGGGAGCCTGGGCTGTTCCTGTTGAGTGGGGTCAGTGTGTGTGCGCGCGCGACCAAGAGAGACCGAGAGACAAAGACGGATACTGCATCAGATATTGCTACGGGCTGAAACTGTGAGGGACTGCGAGGGTAAGATTTTGTAACCGTATGCATTTTGTGAATGTGTGGTTTTGTGCCCTTTTGAGTCTGCGTGTTTGCACGAAGCGGATCCATGTCCCTGCGCGTAGGTTGCGTGCTGGATTGCGCGTGTATCTGTGTACCTGAATGGGTTATCTGCGTTCTTGCCTGTGTGAGCCCTTTTGTAGTTGTGTCTCCGTCCGGGTCCGCTGCTCTGCGTAGGTCCCTGCGTGTGCCCCCAGTTGGGTTCCTGCCCCGGCTCCTCTGGAGCAGTGAACCACAGTGTTCGACCTGGCAGCTCCAGCCCTAGAGGCGGGGCGGCGGGTGGGGGGCTGAAGGAAAGGGGAAAGGAAGGGGCCTCGAATGTCCCCCTGCAGCGGCCTTTTCTCTCTGGGAACTCCAGTCTTCTCCTTGCAGTATTTCTAGATTAGCTCACGTCAGCGCGCAAGTAGGGCGGCCTGAGGGCTTTGACCAGCGAGTTAGAGCTTCCAGGACGTGACAGGAGCTCCCATCCCTCCCCCCACCAACCCTACAGTCTCCTGGAAGCTCCTCCCTAGACAGGGAACCTCCACCATATTGGACAGAGGTGTTCCTAATCCCTCCCTAGGTAGCCCCTTAAATTCCCTCTGGAGCTCAGGAAAGCCTTCACCCCAGTTTGGGAGAAACCAACCCCTTAACCTGAGAAACTCTCCCCTCCACCAGCCACTCTGACAAAAAACCTCCCTATAGAGCCCTTCCCCAAACACAGACCCTCCAAGGCACAGCAGAACTCAGAACAAAGACGGGACAGGGACCCTCGTCCCCAAACGCAGGGATTGCCTCCTCCAAAGAAGCTTTGAAACAGAGCTGAACTTGCATCCCAAGATTAGCCCTGTCTAGAGAGACCGCCCTCCACAACTCCTCCCCCTCCCCATGCTGGAGAGAGATGCTGAAGAGGAAGATCTGCACCTCCTAACCCCAATCTCCTCTCTTCTACTCCTGGTGGAAGTCTTTTGACCAACAGGGACCATCTGGGCAGAGACTTGTGTCTTTGTAGGGTGCCCTACTGCCCATCTAGCTCCACATACATCCAGACCTTGAGATGGCTGTTGATGCCTTCTTTGACAAGTGAATCAATGACATATGAATCCGTTGGTCACTGTTGATTTATGTGTGGGTTTTACAAGGATCCAGGTGCTTACCTTCTCTTTCATTTTCCTGAATGATGCTTATTGCTTTCAGCACCAAGGTAGGCTGTGATGCTCTTTCTTCAGAGGTGGGGGTGAGAAATGGGGTCACTCACTCATTCATGTATTCATTCATTCTCCTAGCCCTTACTATGCATGTGACTCTTCTGGCTGTTGGGGGAACCACCAAGAGGACCCAAGCATGGCCCCCTCCCTCACTTCTCACCCCAATTCTTGGGTCTGGGAGGAACCTCAGAGAGCACCCAGCAACCACATCTTGTCCTTCTATCCCTTCCCACAGGTTCTTGTTTGGTGTTTAACCATCTCACTGTTAAGAGAGATGAAATTCAAAAGCAGATTCCAGCCGCCCTGGCTATAATTGGATTCCAGCAGTTGGGGGAAGGAACGCCTCCGTTTTCCTCCTTTCCTGCTGTTGACAGTAAATACTGCTTCCCACGATGAAGGTGGCAAGCTCCCCAACAGCCCACCCCGTATTGGAAAATCCTGCCCATCACATACTGTGTGACATTGGGCTAGTTACTTAACTTCTCTTAGCTTCCGTTTCTTCATCAGTAAAATGGCAAAATAATAGTAGCTGCCTCACAGTGTTACTGACAGAATGCAATGAGATGTTGTATATAACATGCCTAGCATGTACCTAATACATGATAGAAGTTATTATTGTTGTTATTACTGTGTCCAGTGGCCATTTGTCATTTTGGGCAAAAGTGCATTTACGAGAAAAAGCCTGTGATTGGGTCAGAGAGTTGGGGCGAGTTGAAATTTAAATTCTTCTGTCTTTACCCTGCCCTCTGTCCCCACCCCCTTCCAGTCCTGAGCTAACGTGAAGGGAAGCAAACCGAGATCAGAAGGGCAGAGGGGAGGGCACCTGACAGGCAGCCCCACGAGACAAACGAGGTTTTACCTAGCTTCTGCTGGCAGTTCAGCCTTCAGCTTCCTTTGCCCAAGGTAAAGAGCTGGGCTGTGCTCTAGCGAAGCCATCAACCTCCAAATTCTCTTATATAGCTCCTCCAAGGGTCCCCCAATGAGAGGAATTTGCAGCAGCCTGGCCCCCTGAGTTGAAACACACCACATCACACAAACATACACACTGACAAGCCGACTGACAGATGCACAAAGACATGTGGATCAAGACACAGATTGGAGCACATCGGCAGATTTACACAGATTGACAGAGCAACACACACAGGTCGAGGACAGGCTGGCACACACACAGACACACACCGGCTTTGTGCTGAGACTGCCCACCGCACAAAGAAACCGGGACAGACTCGCGGGGACTCGTTCGCATGAGCAGAGTCACCGGACTACCAGGCTTAGACTCAGCAGAGCAAGGACAGGCACACATACGGACAGTCATACCCACACTGACAATACCCAGACACGAGAAAACACACACTCGCAAACAGACTCACACTGAGACCAACAGCCAGACACCCACCAATGCACGAACAGCCCTGTGTAACTGCTGAGGGGGAAAAGAGGAGAGGACAAAGGGAGGAATGGAGCAGGGGAGACAAAAAGGAACAAGCAAGAAGAGGGATGGGAGGGAGACAGAGCAGGGCATGCCAGGCAGCGGACCCAGCCAGTGCTGCACAGAGAGGCAGCGACACATAGCCTTCCTCTTTGCCATGGTAATGGAGGCTTGGGGAGTGGTGGGCGGTGTGGTAAAGGAGCAGGAACCAATGCCCAACCTGGGAGTGGGGATGGGGGCTATACTCCCAGGGCCACCCAAGGTCCCACCAGTCTTCGGGGAGCTGGGCTGCCTAAGAGGGGCTCCCAAGACTCCTGCCAAGTCCCATGAATCAGGCACCTGAAGCCTGGGCCCAGGTGAAATACCTACCCCCCTCCCACCATACTGAGGTCAATTTCTCTTTCTCTGATGCCCTCAGTACCCAGAGGGTTAAATGCCTGGCTAGATGAGATGAAGACCGTTTTGGGGGGGGATAAATAGGGTTAAATAGAACTGGGCTTATCTCCCAGAGCAGGCAGCAGCGTTGGGGGGAGGGAGTGGAGCTCTTGAATTAATGGCCTGGAAAGGCAATATCATGAGCATCATTTCGGGGCTGAATGATCACAGACAGACCCCCTCCCCCCACCCCCAGACTATGGCTTGGAGCCCTCCTTTTCCAGAGCAAGATCTGTCCTGAGCCTCTTCTGCTGAGGGGACAGGCTCTGCCTCCATTAATCCTCCTCCCCCACCAAGCATCCTGGGGCTGAGGCACTGTGAGGTTTCCCTGAAGCTGGAGGGAGTCGTGCCCCAAACTAGGACCCATCTTCCTGATGCTGTGCCCATGGGCACAAGGGAAGAGTGTGGGCAGCAAAGGTGAAGGCTCCAAGTGAGCAGTCCATGCACTGAGCAGAGATCCTGAGTGTTCTGTCTTCAGTGGGACAGATCAGGTGGGGCCCTGGAGGGTAGGGTGTAGGTGCTATGTCTGCTAGCTCAGGACAAAACATATTAAAATACATGCAGGACTTTGTAAGTGTTAGCAGTTTTCCTTGCTGAGACAGTGAGGAGTCCAAAGATGCTCTATCAGCCAAGGATGCCCTATCAGGGACAGTGTCTAGGGGAGTCCTGCCTTAGGGCAAAGGGGGCTAGATTTCATGACTTCTAGGCATCTAAGGTCATGGCTTCCATGTGGATGACGCCAAGAAGGAGCGAGAAAGCAGGTCACACAGGGACCCAGGCCTTGCCCTCAATAGCCTGTGAAACCAGGAGAAGCAGCC